TGGAAGTCTGAAGTGAGAAGATCCCAAGTGAGTTCAGCATTGGTAATTTAGCAAGACATTTCCTCAAAATAAAAAAATGGCTGTTGATATAGCTCAGTATGGAAGGCTCTGGGTTCAATCTTCTGCCCCCCCCCCAATAAATAGATACAACTTGACAATAAATCAAATACTTCATTTTACCATTCTTTTATTTAAAAATCTTTAGTATTCTGTTGATGATGAACCAAGCCCAAAAGTTTTGTTTTCTCAGCAATGAACAACTATCCTCAACCATCCTGCTTGTAGAGTCTAAGACAAACTTATCTATTGCTTTCCAAGGCCAGGGCACATAAATCATATTTGTGCTGAATTCAAGCTTAAAGTTTTGATCCTTGTAGGAAAGGATTACAGAATAAGAATACTGCCTCCACAAAGCAATTCTAAAATCAGTAGCACTAAAACATTCAAACCCAATCAAGTCAGGAATATGAAGACTGGGAAATAATGAATTAAGTTGGCAAGAAAAATAAGCAAACTAATGCTTTTTTCCATCCCTGTACATAATGTTTTACCTCACTGTCACTCTAATTTGAAGTGATCAAGAATCATTCATGGAAGGGCCAACCAAATAGTTCAGCAGATTAAAGCACTTGCAAGTAGGTGCAGGGGCTGGGGGTCTGATCCCTAGGCCTGGCACCAGCTGGCAATTGAGACTGGGCGTGGTGGCACACCTGTAATCCCAGCACTTGGGAGATTTTAAACAGGAGAATCACTACAAGTCTGATCTTGTAGTGAGACCCTGAACACCCTGTAGACCCTTCCCTAAAATACAGGGGGAAAAAAAAAAATCGTTCCTAGGCCAGGTGTGGTGGTGCATGCCTGTAAACCCAGCATTCAGGAGGCTGAGGCAGAAGGACAGCCATGAAATTGAGGCCAGACTGGGCTACATCACAAGACACTGTCTCAAAAAAAAAAAAAAAAAGAGCATTATTAGGCCAGAGAAATACTTCAACAGCATAAGCACCAGCCTGGCAAACACAAGGCTCTGAGTCCAATCCCTGGAACTAAAAACAAAAACAAACCAAAACAACAAAAACAAAAATCTGGTTGAAGGGCTGGCCAAATAGCTCTGCGGATTAAAGTGCCTGCTTAGGCAGATACAGGGGTCAGGGGTTCAACCCCCTGGGCCTACTGTGCCAGCACCACCTCCAGGGGCACTGAGAAACAACTGAGACAAAATTTAGACTAGCCGTGGTGACTTGGGCCTGTAATCCCAGCACTTGGGAGGCTGTAAACAGGAGGATCACTAGAGTCCAATCTCTATAGTGAGACCCTTGTAGACCCTGTACTAAAAAAAAAAAAAAAAAAATCTGGTTGAATCTCTCATACCTCATCCCAGGAGTGTTCCACATATTAAGTACCTGCTAAAAGTAACAGAAAGGTAGGTGTATGTAAGAAGACAACTGGAAAAAGAACTAAGTATGGCCATATTTCCAGAATACATAAGCTTTAAGGCATAAATATTCACAATTGGGCAAACCCTATAGCTACATTTTGAAGATCCACCATCAAGCACTGTCAATTTCAGAGATAGAAGAAAACAGAAAATAGGAGATGGCACACAACTGTAAGACAAGCTGAGGCTGAGGTAGGAGGACTGCTGTGAGGCTAGCCTGTGCTACATAGTGAGTTCAAGGCCAGCCTGAACTACACAGCAAGACTCCAAAAAAGAAAAAAAAAGCAAGTGTGGTGGCACATAACTGTAAATCCTAAGATCATCTAAAGTTGAAGGCCAGCCTGAATTAGGAAAAAAATTGTCTGAATTAGAGTGACAGTGAGGTAAAACATTATGTACAGGGATGGAAAAAAGCATTAGTTTGCTTATTTTTCTTGTCAACTTAATTCATTATTTCCCAGTCTTCTTCCTGAATTAGGAAAAAAAAGGATGGAAGAAAAGGGGTTCAAATAGGTTTAGTAACATTACCAAAGTTACATAAGGGCTAATAAGTGCCTGGGGTTCGATTCCTCGACATGTGGGCTCTGCCCCTGGGCACACTGAGCCGGCTAAAAACAGGAGGATCACTACTAGTCCGAGTTGCAGGGTGAGACCCTGCACAAAATACAATAAATAAATA